TGCTGGCCCCCGGGTGGCGGGGTCCCTGGGGCAGGAGCAACGGGACAGAGTCAGTGCGGTGCAGGGAGGAGGGGCCATCCTCCCTCCACCCATCCCCGGCTGGCTTCTGGAGGCCTGAGGGTCAGGATGTGAGCGGGGGGGTTGCTCCAGGCTGTCCTGAGACCCTCCCCCAGAGCCCAGGGGCCCGGCACATGCTCTGGCAGGGTGCTGGCTCTTCCCAGACCTCTGTGTCCCCTCTTGGGGCTGCAGTTCCCAGGGTGCAGGCAGTGGAGACCTCCCCAGGCCGTGGGGCCAGGGCTTAGGGGCTGGGGCTCCTGGAAATGGAAAATGTGAGCCGGACAGCCTTATCTGGGCTGGAAGCAGCTGTCTCCACTCCACACCCTCCCCAGCCCCTGGGTCGGCAGCGAGGACCTCAGCCACTCCAGGCCGGGATGTGTGGTGTTTGTTCTCTGGCTAGCCTGAGCCCCAGCAGAGGCCCGTGGGAAGTTCCTCCTTCACTGGGACCCAGAGGCCCAACCCGGGTGCAGGGGGCTGGGAAGTTCTGCTCGATACCACCGCGTCCCCAAACCAGGGCCGCCCTTAGCATTTTATGTGCAGAGAAGCCTGCAGCACCCAGGATCGGCCCCTTCCAGGGACAGAGAGACTTGTGGGTCTGCTGGACACGGGCCCCGGTTGTGTTTGACGGAGCTGACAGAGTGATGCACACGTCTGATACAGGCCGCACACGCAGACACGTGACGTGCATGCATGTGCATGTGTGTCCTATCAGCGTCATGGACACATCCCAGCTTCTGTGTGGGTACATGTACTGTAGGCCCACACATGGGTGTGCAGAAACACACTCAGCCCCTATGAGCAAGTGCATGAGGAGCCCTCCTACAAACGGGTACACGTGCCCTCCGCACAGTGTGTGTGCGCGCGTATGCAGGTACGTGAGCAAGCATTACGGACCCCGTAATGCCCGTGTTGCCCCCACACAGACACGCCCACGGGTGCATGGGGAAGAGATGAACCCTACACATTTATGTATGGCTGGCGAGGGTCCCCTGGGGATGGAGCGACAAAGTTTGAGGTTTGGTTGGAGTGACCCAGGGACACGACTCTCTGCCCGAACTCCGGGGGGCCTCGGGGTCCCAGGATCAGCACTGGCAGAACCCCATGTGCCCCTCTCCTGGGTCCCAGCTGGAGACAAGACGCCAAGGCTGCCTGCCCTGGGGCTTGGGCTCCTGCACGGCCTCCCCCGGGCTCCCTCTGCACTTGGCTCCCGAGCCCAGCAGCCTGGCACGACAGGGTAAATATACGCCCCGCATCCCCACTCCTGTGGCTCTCATAACAGGGCAACCGTTTCCAGGATGGAGGCCGGATTCAGGATTTGAGAGGAGGAGTAGTGGGGGATAAGCCCACCAGGGGATGCAGGCCTGGAGTGCACTAGGGCTCCAAGACATGGAGCACGAGGTGTGGGGTGTGGCTGCTTTCTGCACCTTCCCGGATATGAAGCCGGACTGCCGGGCCAGCTCGCTGCCCTGCAAGTTGAGGGCTGCATAAAGGGTGTGGCAGGCCCGTCTGGCCTGGCCCGTGACCCTCCAACCTGAGCCCTTCTTGGCACAGGGGCCTGGAGGGATCCCTAGTGCAAAGGCAGAGGTGACCCCTTGGAGACGGGCTGTGTGCAGCCCCTGGGAGTCCCCAGGGCTCACCGTTCCCTCTAATGCACGCTCTGACCCGTCTTGGCAAATGGCACCCCCACACCTCACAAGTACCCAAGCAACTCTTCTGTCTCTCTGCTCACCGTCCAGCCATCTAGCTGTCCTTCTGGCCCCGCGGGCTCGCTGGTGAGCCCCCTCTGCCCAGGCATCCAATCACCCAGGGTTTCCTGAGCACTTTCTAAAGCCAGTGCTGTCCCAGGTGTGGGGATGGATGAATGGCTGAGACAGAGACCCTCTCTCTGAGGAGGGGGTGCTACATGCTCACGCAAGAGCATGTACGCCCGGCGCCCGTGCACACGGACCCGGGGTGCAGAGGGTGGAGGGGTGGTACCAGCCAGGCGGGCAGAGGAGTGTGGAGGTCTGAGCATTCCCCTCCTTCTACCCTTTCCCCATCCCAATAAGCCTGATGTGACCTGTGATCTCAGGAACTGAGGAGTCTGGGAGCAAGTGGGACCCCTCCAGGGCAGAAGGCTGGAGGCTGGTGGGCATGGGGGGGGGCCGGAGGTGAAGCAGTGGAGGTCATCAGCACAGGTGTAGGGGCGGGTGATTTTACCCAGGCAGGGCGTGCAGGTGAGGGGGGCCCACCATGGTTAGGGGATGAGTGTGCAAGAAGAGTCCCTCAGGAAGGTCCCTGGGGCGGGAGACAGAGAGGAGAAGGGAGTGGTCCTCGGGGACCACTGCCAGAGGGCCATGGGGGGGTGGCTGGAGCCCTTGGGGGAGCAAATGCTGGGGGGGTGTAGCCCCCAGCCGGCCCGGGGAGCACACAGGAGCTGTCCAGACTTGGCTGAGGGTGACCGTTCCCCAGGGAGGTGCCTTGGGACTAGCATGCTGGAAGAAGGATGCCCCATCTGGGGACAGGGGTCCAAGTCCTGCCCCAGGAGGGAGAGGGCCTCAGTTTCCCCATCTCAGGTCCATGACTGACTTCCCTGACTTCATAGTTATGGCCTGGCAAGGATTTGATTTTGAGAAGTGACAGGAGGCCGGGGGCCTGGGGAAGGCTTGTCTCACATCCAGCTTCCAGCCTAGAACAGAAGCAGGTCAGGGGCCCAGCAGGCAGTGGGGGGGGGGGGGCGCCCGGGGGGGGGGGGGCGGAAACACCACACCAGAGCCCCCCTGGACCTGGGGGGGAGGCCAGCCTGACTAGCTCGCTGACCTCAGGGCTGGTGAATGTGGAGGGAGTGCGGCCTCATCAGTAGGCAGCCCTGGCCTTCCTCACGGCCTGGTAGAGGGCGGGCACTGAGCTGGAGCCCAGTGGCCACCTCCCCCAGCCCCCTCCCCATCCCGGAAGCTCCTGGTTCCCCCTCCCCCACCTCCGTCTGTCCCTGCACCTTTGCCCCTCTCTTCAGGCCCCTGGTACAGCTGTCCTCTCCCAGGCTCCTATCCAGCTACTGACTCAGTGGTCTGACGGCTGCGGGGGAGGAGCCGAGGGGGTCGGTTTGCTTCTTGGACTGTCTACCTTCCCAGAACCCACAGTGAGCCCCATCTCTGCCCTTGACAGAGTCCCCACTTCCGTGGCAGAGGGAGCCCTGCCCTGCCCCTAAGCAGCTCCTCCCAAATATTCTCCTGGTGGCTGGGGACAGCAGACAACTCACCCGAGGTGGGAGGCGGGAGAGGGTGGGGGGACCCCTGCCCAAGCCCACCCCCATAGATGCTGCAGGCTCATGCCCAGGAGGTCACACCTGCTAGTGCCCCCCAGGACTTCATCACACGGTTCTTCCACGGGTCCTGCAAAGGAAGGAAATGGGCTTTTCTGGCTGGGATGGGCTCTCTCAACCTCCAGCGCCCGTGCTCAGACCTGCAGGGGCCATGAGTGCTGGCTGGGGTGGGTGGGGGGGGGGGGGGGGGGGAGGGCTCTCCCAGCTTCTCCCAAAGGTTCTGCCCGGAGAAAGAAGGCAGGAAGCGGTTTGCCTCACCCCGTGCAGACGGCTACTTGGAACACACACTCACACGCACATGAAACATGCATGCCTTTTGGCGCTTGACTTTCTCATGAAATAATTGCTGGAAGGCTCCTTGGATTAGGTAACCCAGCATTCCTTACTGTCCCCATGGTGGGGGGGAGCAGGGGGGCATCTGCGCTCAGCATCTGTCAGGCTGATCTACAGTCCAGGAAGCCTAACACAGCAGGAACAAGCCCAGCAGACCTCCTGTTCCTGAGGCATCTGACCTCCCTCAGGTGGGCCTGGCCTGGTAAGGAGAAGGCTAGTCAGGAAAGGTTTTTGGGAAAAGGATGGGATGCTCCCATTTTTATTTTGAAACAGATCTCGCAGCGACACAGAACCTCGGAGTATCTTTGCTCATCATCTCTCCGGTCCTCCGGAAGCAAAAATTGTTTCCATTCCCTCCTTTCTTGTGGGGTTGGTCGGTGGGGGAGGTTGGAGGGGAGGAATATCTGGGTTTAGGCATGAAAGGAGTGTTAGAGGGAGTAGTGGCGGGAGCCCTGGCCTGTGGATAGAGACAGGTGCCTGAGACTCTGATGGAGGGACAGGGCCCATTAGTCCAAAACTCACTCATCCCAGGATTTGGAGATTCAGCCCTCAGTGCACCCTTCCCTCTCTGCCAGACCTCAGCCTCTCCTGGATCCCCTACTAGGATCTCCCACCAGGGGCCCCTTGGTGAGGCTGGAGCCCTTTCTGACCATTGGTGAGAGCAGAGATGGAGCCACACAGAGTGGGGCTGGGAGGGGACCTCACACGGGTCTCCTGCTCCCTTGGTCTTCACAACAGGTGCAAGAGATTCCAGGCAAAGCTCCCCCAGGCGAGTCTGTGCTCCTGAGAGCCGTGCCCACACGGTAGAGAGGGCAGGGGCCAGGACAGGGCGAGGGTCGGGGCGGCAGTTCTGGGGGCGACTGCTGCCCTCAGGTCTCTCTGAGCGGTGGGGGAGTCCCCACCCCCAGCGGGACCGGGCCCTGCGGGTGAGAGCCCCGAGGGAATGCATAACCCGCGTCTGTGGTCTCCAGGGTAAAGTCCCCTTGGGGATCAAGGGCTTCTTCCGGTGGGGCGGCCGCCCCTCGCCCAGGCCGCACACCGCTCCCCCGGGGTCGGGTGGCGGCGGATCTCGGACCCGCACTCCCCCTGCGGCCCCGCCCGTCCGGACAGCCGCGCCCGGCGGTCCCCGATCGGCGCCTCCGCTGCCCCCACGCCCCGCCCGCGCGCCCCGGCCCCGCCCCCGCCCCGAGGCCCCGCCCCCCGCGCGGCGCCCCGTCCCCCGGCTCGCGGGCCCGCCCCGCCCTCCGCCCGCCCCTCCCACCGCCCCTCCGGCGAACACAGCCCCCGGCGGCCAGTCGCGGTCCGGAGCTGCGAAGGAACTCGACTTCTCTCCCCGCCAGGCCCGCGCTCAGACCGCGCGCCCCGCTCGGCCATGGAGCCGGGCCCCGACGCCGAGGAGGCGCGCACGGTGCGCGAGGCGCTGGGCCGCTACGAGGCAGCGCTGGAGGGCGCGGTGCGCGCGCTGCACGAGGACATGCAGGGGCTGCAGCGCGGCGTGGAGCGGCGTGTAGCCGAGGCGCTGCGCCTGGCCGGCCCGCTGGCGCGCACCGTGGCCGAGCTGCAGCGCGACAACCAGCGGCTGCAGGCGCAGCTCGAGCGCCTGACGCGGCAGGTGGAGGCGCTGGGCTTGGGGACCGGGCCGTCCCCCGCGGCCGGCACTCCCGGCACGCCCAGTCCTCCGCCCGCGCCCGGCGTCCCCGGCCGCGCGCCCCGGCTGGGCAGCGCACGCTTCGCCAGCCACGCCACCTTCTCGCTATCCGGCCGCAGCCAGGTGAGCCTCGCGGAGCGCGGGCGCAGGTTTGCGGGCTCAGGGGGCGTGGGGCTGGGCGCCCCCTGCGGCCGCCCCTCCTCCGCGAGTGCGTGCGTCCGCCCGCGCGCGTCTGCGGGGCTGGGGGCCGTGACGCCTCTGGCCGCTGGGACTCGCTGTGGGGGTCCGGCCACCACTCCGGAGTGAGAGAGGGCCGGCGAATCCTGCCCGCTGCACCTGTCTCGGGCCCCCTCCTTTCTTTGCAGCCAGGCCCTGTTTGCCCTGAGTTCTGTCTCCCTCTCCCCTTTGTCCCACGACGCAAAGGGCTTGGGCTCTGAGATAGGGCCCCTGACCGTTTCAGCACCGCCTGGGCCTCGCCGCCGGCGTGTCCAAATGGCCAGCAGCCCCCGACTCCCCCACCTCCATTCACGGGCCCCCCGCGTTGCCGCTTCACTGAGGCCTGACGACTCCCGTTATTAATTAACCCAGATTGAGAACTCAGGCCCCCCTGTGTGTGTGAGAGAGGGAGAGAGGACACAATGTGGTCGGGGCAGCCGCGTTTGGGAACTGGCAGGGGGTTAAGAGAGCCAGGAAACCAGCCTTGAGCAGTCTCTAGCTTCCTGGGGTCGGTGACCCGCGCTGGGGGTGGTGGAGACCGGTGTGGACCAGTCACCCCGCTGAGCATGGGGCCTCCTGGAGAGACAGGTTAGAATGTTTCCATGGTGTGTGCGGTGGCCCTTAGGTGGGATTTTCCACTCTGCTCAGGCATGTGCTCTGGGGCTGGGTTTCCAGGGTCGTTCCTGGGTTTCTGAGTCGTTTGCACCTGCTGCCCCTCCTTGGTTCAGTCCCTCATGTTCAGATCTCCTGTGGGGGCTCGTCTGCACCTCAGGGGCTGCGAAGAGGGGATCAGATCAGTGCCTACCCCTGGAGCTCCCAGCTGCGTGGGAGATGGCCCCAGACAGAGCAGTGCCAACCGTGGGGGCAGCCATCGCGGATGTGCCTTCCCAGTGGGTGTCCCAGGAGGCCTTTGTGCTGGAGGCCCAGGGCTCCTGCTGAGGTGCTGGTGGAGGTGGGATGGGGGCTGTGCATGGGGGCCCAGCAGAGCTAAAGGGACTGCCTGGCCAGAGGGGAGCCTGGTGGGGGCGAGGGGGAGGGGTGAATTGTGAGGGCCCTTTGGGTGCTGGGTAAGGGAGCTGGGCTTTGTCCCTGGGGGCGAGACATTCTTCAACCTGTGGTGGTGGCAGAGCCCCTGGGTAGCCTGGTGCTCCGTGTGAAGTGTCTGGGTCTGTCCTATGAGCACAACACGCTACACAACCATGGTATGAAATCACCACTGTGAGCTCACCCGTGCCTAATAAACTGTGTCATGGGCTGTTTCTGTTCTAACACACATGCTCATGGAAGCAGGGGCCCAAGGTTTCAGAAAAAGAGCGTCCGTGTCATGTGTATAAGAGCGTGTCTTTGCACATGCTTGCTCATACATGTGTGAGGGGGCTCTCCGGTCATCTGCCTCAGCAGTACCCCTCAGTGGGCATTCTCACCAGAGGTGAGCTGGTCCTCTTGGTTATGGGGGTGGTGGGTGAGGGGGGCTGGGCAGGGAGGGACAGGGTAGCCATCCACAAGCTCCCGCAAGGATGGATGGCGGGGTGGAGGGTGGCTGGAGACAGGGTGGGTGGGTTAAGTGGAATGGCCTGAGGAGAGAAGACGGTCTGACCTGGGGCGGGGGTGGGTGCACGGAGACCGGGGGCTGCCTTGGGGCGAGGTCTGCAAGGGGGAGTTGGCAGGGGGAGGCGGTGTTTGGGCACAGACAGGAGCCTGCCTGGGGAGCTGCCGGGTCACAGATCTGCTGGGGTCATGCTGCATGTGAGGGGCTATGGGACATCCACGGGAAGATGCCCCAGAGCAGGTGGACCACGGATCTGGGGTGCCGGGAGTGGTCGGGGCTGGACGTCCGGGAGATGCCGGAGCTGAGCTAGCAGTTGAAGCCCTGAAGTGGGCGAGGTCTTCAGGGCAAGTGCATGGAAGGAGAAGGTGAGGCAGGAGCCCTGGGTGGAGATGGAGGAGATGCCAGGGAGCCAGCAGGCCCTGGAAGTCAAAAGGTTGGGGTCAGGGGTCAGCAGGGATGCTGTGGCTCTTTGGGGGACGGGGGCGGAGACCCAGTTGGAAAGTAGGTTGCGGGCCTCAGAAAGGCAAGCATCGCTGAGTACTTGGGGAGGGTGGTCAGGGTCCCCATCCGGGGCGGGGTCAGCTTCCCCTTGCTTGACTTCGGAAGCACTGGTCCCCACTTGTCACGCAGCCCACCTCTCCCAGTGCTGACGCACGCTCCCAGCCAGTTTCTGGCAGCGAAGGGGGCCATGTGGAGCTGTGTGCACATCCCCACTTGTGCTGTGACGAGCGGCTCGGTCACGCACAGGGTGCTCGGTCACGCACAGGGACTCGGCTTCAGGCTGGGCATCGGACTGCCGGCTGTCTTTCACACCCCGCGTCTGTCGTGGGGGGAGGGTCCAGATAGAGCTGCGGTTACCCCGCCCCTCTGATATCAGCGAGATGTAGAGAACCTTTTGCTTTCTGCCATCTCAAACTGGGGGTTGTAGGTGTTGGAGGTGGGTCCTACATAGCGTAGAAATGTACCCTGAACTTAATGGGGAAAGAGTTGATCAAGTAATCCACTCTTGAGCGCATAAACCTTGACCTTGCTAGGGAGTGAGAAGACAGCTGTAGCCAGGGAAGATCTGGGAGGAGGGAGAGGGCCGGGCAGTGGGAGCAACCAGAGTGGACTCCCTGTAGGAGGCCCAAGTGCCTGGAGCAGACAGAAGCTGCTTTTGTCACGTTTGTCGTGAGGCCTTGGGAGCCTCTCCTCACTTTGTCTATGTCTAAACCAGGGCGGACTGGGCCGGGCTGGTTGGGGGGCCCCTCGCAGTGGGCGGACTGGGTTCTTCTAACAGTGACATCCGCTGGATCCGGTAGCGGATCCGTTCACAGGCGTGCGTGCACAGCCCGCTGGGGCTTGTGGTGGACAGCGGCCGCCTGAGGCCAGGCCTGAGTTGTTTCCTGCAAGCCACCGCGTTCTTGGGGTGGAGGTGGTGGAGGCCCTCAGGGACTGCTGCCAGGAGCTCAGGTCGAGGCCGGCCTGCGAGAGAAGCCAGACTCCCTTATCTGCTCCCCTCCCAGACGCACTGTGTGATAGCAGAGGTCACCGCCCTGGAGGCAGGCGTTTGGGTTGAGTTTTGAGAACCCCTTGGGGGGGGGCAGCGGGGAGCAGTCTGGGGGGTGGGCTCAGTCACTCCAGGGCTGCCCGCGGAGTGGGGCGGGGGTCAGGCAGAACTGAGAACACCTGAAATGTGCCCGCCCTCCCAAAAGTGTTTACAGACTTCCCAGTGAGAGAGAGGACTGTGTCTCCGGGGTCTCTGAAATCACGTGCCTGCGCCTCCCCACCAATGTCCCCAGGCCTGGGCTCCCTAGCAGGGGGGCCCCTCCTCTTCACACAAAGCCCAGAGGGGGAACTCCGCAGGACCTGGGGCCGAGGCAGCCTGCCCCCCAATGCTGGGAGAGCGAGCTGGAGGCCCCAGGGGTGTGCCTGCTCCAGCCCAGCTCCTTGGTTTTAGGGCTCTGTCCCACAGAGGTCCTGCTGGGGTGGTTACCCCAGTGTCCCCCCATTTCCTCCCCCTCAGAGGGCCAGGGGCTCGTGCTGCCCCAGGCTCCTGGGGGCAAGTTCGTGCCGAGTTGTCCTCTCTTCTGTGGAAGGCCAGAGCGCTTTGTGGACAGAGCCTTGGGTTGGGGTAGGAGACCCAGGTCCCAAACCTTGACTCCACCACTGCCTTTAGTAACGTGGGGGTTTAGACCACTGGTTGTGTGCCGATGGGATGGAGGTGGTCTCCAAAGAGCCCCTTGGCCTGTGACACGGACAGAGCCCTCTCCGCGAGTGAGGGTCAGGGGACCCAGGGGGTCTGGGCTTAGCCCCCACCCTGGCTGCAGTCTAGCTGAGACCCCTAGACGGGAATCTGGCTGGTCCAGAACCTACTTCCTGTCTGGTTGTGGCGTCTGGTTCCCTGGGGCATCACAGGGGTGGGGGACCTGCAACGTGCAGGGGCAGGCATCTGGGGCCCCACCGTAGAGACCCACATTCCTGAGAAATGGTTTCACCATCCGCCTGTCCCTCCAGGCTCCTACCTGGACCTGTGGCACCGGTTGGACCAGAGCAGGGAGGGTGGGGGGACATGGGGACCCCAGAGCTGAGTTGGCCCTGGTGACAAGTAGGGGCTGGGGTTCAGGGTGGACTTCTGAGTTGGCTCCAAACCAGCTCTAGGGGTGCTCGCAGATACCCCCCTCCTGCACTGCACCTGCAAGGGGGCCTGGCCCCTCCCCCACCCTCCTGGACCGGGAGTCGAGGGGTCACCTGAGTCCTGCCCTTTCTAACTTCTTCAGACACCCGACCCCGCAGAGGGTCCCTTGTCCCACCTCTTCTGCAGGAACAGCCCCTCTAACCCCCCGCCGCCATCTCCCCTCATGCC